GTGTACCTCTGGTGCAAATTACTGACCTCTGTCATCATTTTAAGTGGGGGAACTTGCACAATCGGTGGCTGACTAAATACTTTTTTGCCCCACTGTAGCTTATGAATGGAAATCGAAAATTATGTCTTCCTTTAAGTGTGAAATTAGATAATCTTCACTACATTTGGAAGTTCCAGTTAGTAGCTAATTAGTTTAACATTAAGAGTAAACAAACACACAAAAATACCTAGGCTTCCATCCGCCCTTTAAATTTTTACGCTAAATTAAGCGGAGGTTAGAAGGGGGTTATGAGAAGCATGCTATGTAACTGAGGCTTCAGTAGAATTTCTAGATATTATAATTTATATTTATATACTGTAAAGTGCATAGCTGGACTGGCCATCGGGCATACAGGTGTTGTGCCAAAGTACTGTAGGTATCCCCGACAGAATTTGTTTCCCTTGTGCTGGGAGCACGCAGGAAGTACTGATGTTTTCATTTTGTGAAAAAAGTGAAAAATTAGTATCATTACATTACCATTCAGTTTGAGGGTTACAACAGAAAATTATATATTTATTGCTCACGGGGTATCAGATGGTATTATTTTAACAAACCATTAACATTTTGGCTGATAACTATTTTTATTCTCCTGTAACTTTACTATATAAAGAGCTAAATCCTCCAAAGTTTCAGGAGTAATGCGTCATAATAAGAAGTGTTTGTGAACTAAAAATCAGCAATGTGGGATACTGTTTGTCCGTGATTTGGACAGGGGGAACAAATTGTGGCAGGATCAGCCTGATATTATTTGTGTCCCACTACAACTCCGTTGTATAAAGAGCTAACATCTCAAAAATGTCAGGAGTAGTTAGTCATTAGAAGTGTTTGTAAACTAAAAATCAACAATGTGGGATACTGTTTGTCCGTGATTTGGACAGTCCAGCGTGTGCTCCCGACGCAGGGGAAACAAATTCTGTCGGGGATACCTAGTTTGGCACGACACCGGTCTGAGTGTCAGGTGAACTGAACTTCAGGTAAGAAGTTATGACTGCAGTCTATCTGGGTCAGATAGAAACCAAGTTTAGGTGGAGTTTATTTTCGTTGTGCTGACTTTTTACACTCAGTTACAATAACTCGTACTGCCTACTGCCTACTACTGCTACTTAAATCATGAAACTGATCAATGATCAGCTGATCGGCTTTTCTCTCTTGTTTGTTTATCGCCCACTTTGCGCCAGAAAGCAGAAACCAGCTGATGTCGCCTTAAACAACAGCAGCACGTTTAAGCTTGATCAGCTGTTGTTAGAATTTATTTAATATTAATTTCTAGTATCAGCTGATGTTTTCTGGAGCCACAGCTGTAAAAGCTGCTGGTCCTGATATTGGTTTGTATATCTGGTGAGAGGGAAACATGAAGATGAAACCAGGAGATGTCCTTACTGAATCATCAGAGCTGAACAGGTGATGGAGAAACAGGTTTACTTTTTAGGTCACATGAATGAGTTGAAGGGAAGTTATGAACTGTTTCTGAGAGAAAGAAATACTTTTCTTTCTTATTCTCATTTAAAATGTCTTGCTTTTATTAAATAATTATCTGGATCTTACAACCAAAGTTTCTATCTGACGTAAAATGTATAGAAATCATACATATACCAACAAGACAGCGTGCATCACTGTCACAACAGCCTTTGTTTTCATTCAAAGGCTTTATGGCTTTAATACCTGGTGGGCCGGTCTCTAGTCAAAATGCCCGGGCCGATTTTTTGTCCCAGTCCAGCCCTGGTAAGTTTCTCTCATATATTTTTAACTGTTCAAAGGATACAATATAAATGCACAATATTCAAAGCAGAACCGATCAAGTTCACAATAATTACCTAGTATTCAGTATCCATTTAAAGAGCAGGTTGTCATGAATAATACAGAGGGTTTGTATTCTGAGCTTCTGAGCTTTGCATAAAGGGAAAACAGTCCCTAAAAAGCGGAAAAGATCAACAGTGGGTCAAACTAGATGCAAATGATGATGGTGATGACAAGCTGGAAAAAGATAAGCTTTTGTTTTATGCTGGTTGTAACAAATGGCTGCCACACCCTGATCCTGAGCTTCTTCCTGTTTAAAGAGAGTTTTTCTTTCCCACTGTCACCAAGTGTTTGCTCATAGGGGGTCATCTGATTGTTGGGGTTTTCTATACATTATTGTTACGTCTTTACAATATGAAGCGCTTTAAGGCAAATTTTGTTGTTGTAATTTGATATTGTACAAATAAAACTAAATTGAACTGAATTAAAAGTTGAACAAATGAAATATCAGCAGATTGTAATGACAGGCAAGTATTCCCTGTAAAAAAGGAAACACAAAGTTTAAAGGCTTAAATTCTAACTATGTATTTACTAAAACATGGTTGCTAAATTTACACTTCCACTTGCTTTTTGTGGCAGTGAAGAACATATAATGAATAACTACTCATTCAGAGCAAACACCACTTGGCATGTTTGTGTGATATTCTGCTGCATAAACAAGCCAATAAGCCATAAGGCATTTATGGGAAGCATGAAATCCACATTTGCATGGTTTACTCTTAATTTTTCTGTTGGGAAAATATCAACAAGTTCCAGTCCAGCAACTGTGCTATGGCAGAGGTGTAGTTTGATTATCTGCAGGGGGAGCAGATGGGTCACCAGAGCCTGACTATTTAATCAGGGGATGAGGTGTGGTGCTGGCACAGTGAGGGATTATATGGTCTGGTGGTTCAAATATTCATTTCTGTCATCTGCAGCAGAAATATAAAACCCATCTTTAATATTCAGTGGACACAGGTTAGTTACTTTTGCATTGAAAAGGAAGAAATCTACATTTCCTGTTAGTGTTGTAATAGTGGACTGGAATTTTTTACTTTTAAAGCTTGTTTTTTGCATGTTAATATGACTCAAGGAAAGATGTCAAAAAGATGTCAATCAGCAGCTTGAATTTCCGAGTTACTGTTAGTTTCAACACCATCAACTCCTGATTTCTACACTACTTCCTCTTTTCTGAGTGGTCATAGCCCCTGATGTCTGTGTGACAGTGGAAACACTTACAGAACCCAGCCCTGCACAAAGCTGCTTACAGTCTCTTTTTAGCGCAATCGGGACAGTAGGGTTTATGCTTGATAAGGGATTTCTTTCCCTGCCATAATTAGGCCACCCACATTCACAGTCATGTGTTTCTGATGGTGACTGAGATTATGGGACCTTCCATTCTGAGGAGATATCATGATTTATAGAAACAAAAAAGTGAAACTATGGTGACTCTACCACATACCAATTATATCTTTCAGTGGATATCAGTTTTCAGGTTCAAGATGTGGATTAAAAATAAGACAATAAAGAATATAGCCAGCCCAATATATTTTTGCTCTTTTATGCTTTAGTTTCACACTGTTTTAGTGTGCATGATTTAAAATCATAAAGCTCTGGAAATAATATGCTAGATGTTTAATTTCACCAGCCAACAGAACATAGGTAACGGTAGGACTGCGTGCAAAAGTTATGTAATTTCCACAGGTGTTTCAAGTTGCAAGAGTATACAGAGAGGGGAGTGCCCACCACAGCAGGAATACGATTGGATAGATTATGAGGCGTTTTTGATTGACAGAAAGATGGACCAATGAGATGCCGCTCTGTGCTTGCCCCCTTGTTGGCCGTAGAGGCGACGTTCAAGGGAACATTTGTTCTGGATGGTGAAGCTGTACCGTCACGTCGGCAGGGTGTAGGTCGTAACATTTTGTTCTTCTCATTAAATCGGATTTAAAGTCGAGCCGAGAGTTTTTCTTTTTCAACCGTGCGCGTAAGAGATCCACCAACGGCTGCAATTAAATCCTCGCACACCGCAAATCTTAAGCTTAATAACGAATTGGAAGTGTTTAAGTGTGGAAGAAAGAGGGCTCGTTGCATTCGTCTGCGGATCCGTGTACGAGTAAGTTATTGCTCTCCAGTGTTTTTAACCTCGCTACAAAGAATTTATTTCTTATGAAGTTAGAATTAAAGCGTGTTCTTGTTAAGTACTTACATTTTGTTGAGTTATTTAAAACTACTTAAACCGACTCATCATCATCCTCGGTTTAACATGCACTCCTCTTTTCATTAAAGTTTTTTTTTCCAATTCCCTGTTCTGCTAACTTTTTCGTTACAACTCTAACCTTGCTAATAGCCTAAGCTATCTGATTCTGGTTTTAAATAGAGACGTTTAGTAAACCCTTATCCTGTTTTCCCCTAGCTGATAGCTAATTAGGTGGTGGTTTAGTTTAGCAGCAGGCTGATGTTGGCTAGCTAACTTAGCTGACTACTCCCCCGACATTTTTGCAGCGGCTGTAAAGTTGCACCGCAGGGCTGTAAAGCCGCCAGCAGAATAAACTGGACCCATACATGCGTTTTTAAACGCACAAATTCGCTCCCTGCGCGTTTTAAAACTCTAAACCTATGAATAAGGGTGATATTTATTTATATAACTCTGTCGGCATTAGAATAAAGCTGTCAAGTATAATGCTAACGCTAGCCCACTATATGTTGGCAGGGCAGCAGAGAAGTCGATTTCAGTGTGCCAGAAACTGTAAATGTTCCAATAAAACTACACTGTCATCAATATGGAGTCTACTCTAAAGTAAATTATTTACTTTTTAATAGTTATTTTGTTGGCAGCTGATTTAAAAAAAAATAAAATAAAATAAAAAATACTGAGTGGGTCAGTGATGACACGCATTAGAACTGTTGCAGACATGATTTGGAAGCCATGTGGCAAAGTAGGGCCACAAATGCATTATGGCGTATCCTTATAAAAGTGTGCATTTTAAATGTATTTACTGTATACTGTGGGCCTACTGTGAGAAGTTGCAGACTTCTACAGTATTTATATTGTAAAATCTTGGCATAACATATTTCGTTCACATTGGGCATTGTAAGGAGCCCATCATAGTCTTGTGCTGCCTGTTGTAAATGCTCTTTCCTCTCATCTTACAGGTCTGGGCAGCATTATCAAGATCACGGCTGCAGGCCATTTACTGATGGGTACATACTGCGAGGCAACACACCAAGAGAGCTGCAAATTATTCGCGAGAGACGGGAACTGTGAAAGAATGAAGACAAGCTAGAGACTGTTTTCACTGTAAAATCATAAATTGTAGCTTTGTTGGAACAACAGCCATTTCAACCAGCAAATGAGTAGCTGGGCTTAAGTTACTCAGAAAAAAAACCCCTTAAAAATAACAAGACTGGTACAGACTCATCTTTACAAGTGAACTTTAAACAAACAAATATGAGTGCTGAAGGGTATCAGTACAGAGCACTTTATGATTATAAAAAAGAGAGGGAGGAGGACATTGATCTGCATGTTGGGGATATATTGTTGGTAAGCAAAGGAGAGCTGGTGGCTCTTGGGGTCACCGATGGCCTGGAGCAGCGGCCAGATGAGATTGGCTGGTTGCCAGGCTTTAAAGAGACCACTCAGGAAAAAGGGGACTTTCCTGGCACCTATGTAGAGTACATTGGGAAGAAATGGATCTCTCCCCCTACACCCAAGCCAAGGCCCCTGAGACCCTTACCTGTAGCTCCAGCCTCCTCCTTCAAGTCAGAGATGGACTCGGACTCAGAACAAGGTGAGTTTAAACAAGAACTGTTAAACCATGTTTATTGGTATCAAATTCATGGGTGTTCTCCTTTATCTCAAAGTTCTGAAGGGATTTTTTTCTGGATTACCAGCATAATACACGGCAGTGTGATCTCGGTACGAAAAAGGGGACACATGCATGAGCTATCTGTATATCTTGCTAGTTTAAGCTACAATAGTTTTCATAATCTGTCTTGACATTATTATTAATTGTGACAATTTGAATGTATTAAAATCCTGAGGGTGTAAACTGATGTTAGCAATATTAAACACCCCCCCCCCCCCCCCCCCCCAAACTGTTATGTCGCTTTGTGCATTCTCTGGTAGTCCACTGACACAGACAACTAGTTAAGTGTTAAAGTAAAACCTTAGCAAGTCAGAGTTGTGAATCTGTTATCAGCAGGATGCTGATGCTGCAAAACAGGGTTTTGTTTAACAACTCTGCCTGGTGCGGTACAGCTGCACTGAATGTGAACCATGCTCAGTCCCAGAGGACACGGGCTCTGGTGTTTATGCTGGATATAGTACACCAGAGCATTTTCTGCAAGCCATATGTTACCAGCCGAGATCATCCATTTTTGTCCTCAAACTGCATCTTAAGGGAATGCAATTTGCGTACCAGTGTGGAGAAGCCTGTGTAGCTCAGTGTATACACTGGTAGCAGGGGAGCAGTTAAGCTAGCTCAAGCAAAACTGATCGATTGTGTCATCATTTAAACTATAATTTACTTTACTTTTTTTTTTTAAGCAATGTAACCAATCATTTTCTGATCTTATTTTAAACACCTTGTTAAATCTCTAAAAATATCAATCACATATTACTAACATCACAGAATATCTAAGTTATAGCTGAAATATTTTGGTGGGGGGGATATCTCCATATGTTTTTTTATTTTATTTTTATTTATTTTTTTTGTGGGTAAAAAAAAAATTATTTCGAGATGTTTGCAGTTCAAAATGACCCTTTGAAATGTGAGTCAGTGTTACAGCTCAGGCCGCAACTATGAACTGCAGTTAAAACTCGTCTTTTTAAAGACTCTGTGGCTTGTGTTAATGTGCACTTGAAGCTTTTTGCTCACCTAAAGAGCAGCTGTAGTCGCCAGGTTTCTAGTTTTTAGGCCATTTGTGGTGCTATTGTGAAATTCTTTGCTGTGGTCTACAGTGCGAATGAGGAGCTGTTTTTCTTGTTTTTTCTGGGGGGTTTTTTCGGGTTTTTTTTTTTTGTTTTGTTAAAAAAGGGGCATATGTTGAATGGATGTGTTGTGGTTGAGTGGCAGCACTGCCAAGTGTAAATGTAGCACTGAGAGAAGAAAAGTTGCTGTGTCCTGGGTGGTGGTGTGAGCTGGGTGGGGGGGGGAGGGAGAAAGGGCCCAGAGTTGTGGGTAAAAGGGGAAGAGAGTCCCTGTGCTAGTTTCAGGATGGGTGCATGAGGATCAGGGCTGAAGTGGAGCTGGGGGCTTGGCAGAGGGGCTGCAGCTGGGATTGGAGTAGGTTGCGGGCTTTGGGAGGAGCTTGGGATCTGCATGCTCAAGGGGGCTTTGAAGAGGGTCTTGTGCTCGGAGTGTTTGTGATTTATTGCCCACCACCAAGGGATCCTGCTCCCTTCCTCCTACTCGAGATTTTTTTTCTCCTTCTTCCTCCTTTTTTTTCTTTTCTTTTTTTTTTTTTTTTAATGTTTTGATAGCTCCTACCATCAGCTCTGGTCCCAGGAAAAGGGTGGAGAATGGAGGGCTTGGAAAGGGGCCTCTCCTCCCTTAGCCACAGGGGGGGTTTACATGAGTGCAGCAGATGTGGAGAGGGAAAGAGAGAGACTAAAGGGCTGGGCTGGGAAACTATTAGTCCTCATTCCAGCGCTCAGCCTTTCTTTTTCTTAAAAAAATAAAAAATAAACATTAAAGTGTTGCTCCTTTTACTAGGCCTCTCAGTTAACTGAATATACATGTGTAGTGCTGCCAAGCAGAAGGAACTTGGAAAGCAAATAACCAGCTCAGAGCTCCATTTGCTTATTTGATTTAATTTAAAAAATCCACAGTTGGTTCCCAAACTGAAATTCTCAAAGTTTAAAAACTTCTCGCACCTTTCACGTCTAGTATGTATCTTTTAATGGTGAAAAAGAAGTAACTGAGGTGGAATTTCAAATAAGCTAACTGAGTCAGAGTAGTACTAAAAGAAAAAATACAAGTAGCTACTTTTAGTCTGTAGCCAATTGTGTAATTCCTGATGCCCAACAAGCACGTTGCATGTTAAAATTGTTTAGACAGCGACTATGTTATGGCCTAATATTAACCTCGGCGTTTTCAGTGTGTAATTACTTTATTTTTCTCCTCCCATCTGTTGGCCAGCATGAGCATTTTTTTTCCCCTCTTTTCCCAATTCATACTTAGATAAGTATGAATAACCGGTTGTTGCTCTGCACGCTATCACAAGGTACAGCCTACACGCTCGGTCTTGTTTAAGGATATATTTGATGGCATCGGGCTGTGTTCCCCTGCTTGTCTGAGCCTTATCAGTATGTTTGAAGTTTTCATGTGCACATTATGGTACGTGGGATTTATCCAAAAAAAAAAAAAAAGCAGTGAAATGTTTTATAGCTTTCTGCTAAATATGCCTCCTGGTGTGTATGCAGACTTTTTTGGTTACCAAAAAATGAAATGTGGATTTTATAACTAGTAATGGATGTACTTAATGGAGCATCTGTGCTGGCTACTGGAAGGCTGAGTGCAGCCTGTACAGAGGAGACGTTTCAGGGAGAGCACTCTGCATAGCTGGAGTTTGAGATAATGCAGCTCTCCTTCTCGGGGCCTCTTTAGCACTCAGGCTGACATCTGCTAGATTGAATACACTTTCTGTTGGTAGTGTCATTTTTTTAGCTTCCCCCCCCCCCCGCTAAGAGCTCACTTTTCTCTTAAATTATACATGTAATGACTTTGGCGTAGGTTTCAAATTGGCATACTCTTTTCATTTGTCCAGAGAACAGTCACAGTTTGTTAAATCCATCCAAGTCAGCAGCAGAATAAGCACAGCAGAAGTTTATCGTGTGATAGTTTGCTCTGATGTAGTGTTCCTCTGTGGGACTAAAGGCAGCTGGGGCCAGGAATTTGGTGGTTGGGGGTACGTACAGACTGCATAGTGGACTGATTTGTACCTTTGTGATGAATCTGTATTGTGCTAAGTGCTGATTGCTGTAACTCGACGCACAATACAACTATACAACAAATGGGTGGAGGATGAATAGCACCCTAGCGATTGCTCTGTGCTGTCATTGTTATCAGTGGACAAGCTGCTGGCAAAAGGAAATATATTTGACTTTTGTACTAGGTGGAATATTAGTATGTTTAGAAGCTGTTGAGAGGAGAGAAAAAAAAAAAAGCTTTAGTCGGAGGTGAGAAGCGTGTCAGTGACAAATCCAGTGCCTGTGAATCTCAGACTTGAGCTGGATTTAAATATATTATGACTTGTCATAGTTTCCAGAATGGGGAGGGGCGCCTTGTCACATGCAGTGTGTTTAAAGCAGCCCACGTGACAAAGGAAATTTGCATTCACATCATTAAATTGCAGATATAATAAAATTTAGTTTTGACTGTCCTTAAAGAAAGGGGGTTTGTTAGTTTTGTGTTTTTGTTTGTTTTAGCATCCCGATTCAAACCCAAGATGGCAAAGTTGTTTTTCCCCTCACATTTTTAGTTTTTCCATTTGTCATCAGTTTACTATTGAGCAGTCCCTTCATTTTAAAGTTTAGTCTGTATTAACCAGCTACCCTTTCCCATCTAGTGTTCATCAATTTTTTTTCTTGTAGCCTTCTCCATGGATGGTTTGTATTGTAAACTGATATATGATGCAGAGACAAATAATGTAGTAGCTTCAATAACTGTTTGCATTTAATTTTTCCTCTGGT